CATGTTTGTCTTCGTAGTTATTGTAAGACACTACAATCTATGAACTCCATGTTTGTCTCCGTAGTGATTCTAAGACACTACAATCTAGGAATCCCATGCTTGTCTCCCGTAGTGATTCTAAGACACTACAATCTAGGAATCCCATGCTTGTCTCCCGTAGTGATTCTAAGACACTACAATCTAGGAACTCCATGTTTGTCTCAGTAGTGAGTCTAAGACACTACAATCTAGGAGCTCCATGTTTGTCTCCGTAGTGATTCTAGGACAATACAATTTTAGGCTTCCCATGCTTGTCGCCCGTAGTGATTCTAAGACACTACAATCTAGGATCCCCATGCTTGTCTCCGCAGTGATTCTAGGACAATACAATCTAGGATCCCCATGCTTGTGTCCCGCAGTGATTCTAAGACACTACAATCCAGGATCCCCATGCTTGTCTCCGAAGTGATTCTAGAACAATACAATCTAGGATTCCCATGCTTGTCTCCCGTAGTGATTCTAAGACACTACAATCTAGGAACCCTATGCTTGTCTCCCTCAGTGATTCTGGGACAATACAATATAGAATTCCCATGCTTGTCTCCCGTAGTGATTCTATGACGATACATTCTAGGATCCTCATGTTTGTCTCCCGTAGTGATTGTTGGACAATACAATCCAGGATCCGCATGCTTGTCTCCCGTAGTGATTCTAGGACAATACAATCTAGGATTCCCATGCTTGTCTCCCGTAGTGATTCTAAGACAATACAATCTAGGATCCCCATGTTTGTCTCCGTAGTGATTCTAAGACACTACAATCCAGGATCCCAATGCTTGTCTCCGTAGTGATTCTAAGACACTACAGTCTAAGAACTCCATGTATTTCTCAGTAGTGATTCTAGGACAATACAATTTAGGATTCCCATGTTTGTCTCCGTAGTGATTTTAAGACAACACAATCTAGGATTCCAATGCTTGTCGCCCGTAGTGTTTCTAGGACACTACAATCCAGGATCCCCATGCTTGTCGCCCGTAGTGATTCTAGGACACTACAATCTAGGATTTGGGACAATACAATCTAGGATTCCCATGCTTGTCTCCCGTAGTGATTCTAGAACAATACAATCTAGGATTCCCATGCTTGTCTCCCGTAGTGATTCTAGGACACTACAATCTAGGATTCCCATGCTTGTCGCCCGTAGTGATTCTGGAACACTTCAATCTAGGAACCCCATCTTTGTCTCTCGTAGTTATTCTGAGAAAATACAATCAATGAACCCCATGTTTGTCTCCCGTAGTGATTCTGAGACAATACAGAACACTATTTTCGACTTCCAGTGATGTACTTGAGACAGTGAACACTCGTTATCTAGGTACATGAACAAGTGCACGGAGGATTGTTCTACACGTCCGTTTAGTTAGTATATTTCGTGACCGAATGTTTGCCAAAACTGTGTAATAAAGTCACTATTTATGTAATTATGCGAAATGTGCGTGAATAGAGACATTGTTTCCAAAGTGCGTGTGTACTGGGGATTGGCATGATGGTTTGCCGGTTCCTGTATCAAGTAATTGTAGTTAGGCCACATTTCCTGACCTCGGCATAACATAAACTGCCATTGACAATAATCGTGCATGATAATTATCTATATTTATATTGTGATTGTCAGTGACACTTGACTGCCCATCCTCATGTGAGACTCGGCGTGTGTGTTTGTGGCTTGGGGGTCGGTAAGAGGGGAGGGGAAGGCAGGGTGAGGCCGTATTTCCATGACGGCTTCAGCTGCATGTCAACATCACATGGTTTCAACTGCAGCCTGCGTGTGGTATATGCCATATTGAGCACTTGGGGACCTTTGATAGTGTTATTATTAAGCCTACAATTACTTACTTCCTTTGCCGATAAACACACGAACAATGCCTTTTGAGGTCTGGCAGACCTTGTACATCCTGGAATATATAGGGGATATTCGGATATATGTTCAGATTCCATGATTGTAAGAGATGCTAGTTTCTTAAATAGTTGTATGATGATGATCGATATTGGAACTCATTACAACCGGAAATAAAATTATTTCTGAAGGTGACTTCTTTCAGTGGCATTTAGAAGCTGATATGATGAAGAGGAACCCATTTTTGGGATAGACAACTTCTTTATTGCAATAAGATGCGACATTTCGGTGTAGATACTAACACCGTTATCACTTGCTTGATGACGGACCGCCAACGATCTTGATGGACATACGGGTCAGATGGGGAACTCAAAAGTTGGCGTTTATAGATCAGTAGCGAGTAAATCCGCCACGACTTGTCAAACATTCATTAACTGGACTAGGCATAGTGCGTATGAGTCTCCTAATTGCGATTTGAGGGATCGGTCGGGGCCTGTGCGGTTGATGAACTCGGCTCCCAATGATGCCCCTGAGGTGAACATTTGGGGAAAAGTGTGGACTCATTGCTAGCCACGACATTCAATGGATGTCGTGATGCAGAAGGTGAGCTGTGACGATTCGCTTGTCAACTTGAAACACAAAACTTCCACCGTCACGCCTTCCAAAGGGTCAACAATGGTGTCAGTATGTTGTCCTGAAAGCACTTTCCAGTCACCTTTCCTTACGCAAAATGGAGTGGAGTTGCCTCAGGGTTAATCATACCACCCCGTATCGCTAGCTAATGCTCAAATCATAAATGAAACCAACTTAATGAAAACTATATGAAGAGCAGAATCAATAAGACTGACAGAAAATTGGTCCAGAGAGATTAATCGACCTTCATTGAAAGTGTCAACATCAGTAACGACTCCCTAACTCAGACTGACTGACTGAGTTTAGTTTTACGCCGCTTTTAGCAATATTCCAGCAACATCACGGCGGGGGACACCAGAAATGGGCTTCACACATTGTACCCATGTGGGGATTCGAACCCGGGTCTTTGGCGTGACGAGCCAACGCTTTAACCACTAGGCTACCCCACCGCCCCGACTCCCTAACACGTGTGTGGCGCTACTGCGAGTGGCACGTGCAAACTAAAGCACGTGTATATGTGTTTAGGTTTTACAGACATCAACGTTCTTACATAGGGTGTTTGCCAACAACACCTGCCTTTGTTCTGATGCTTGGTATAATGTTTCACCATCCCCTAAGAGTACAGCAAACTACGTCTATCAAGAACACGCTTTTAACGAATTGTGTTTTGGGCTACGCCCACTCGGTGTACATGTTCAACACACTTGCTGTAATATGTCCCATTCAAAGCTCTCGTAAGTTTTAAGATCTCGTAAAGCATGCGCTCCCTATGTTAGAAAAGTTACGAGATCTTAGGCTTACGAGAGCTTTGTGAAACAGGGTCCAGGTCACTTGTTTTATCAACATGCATCAAACAACGGTTATAACGAATTTGTGGTCCCTTTGAGTTCGTCATAACCGTAGTTAGCTGCATTTCTGGAGAATAAAAGAGCTCACTTACACAACGCGATGGTAACAAAGGATGCCTGTAGTGTCATCTTAACAGTGTAACGTTACAGACTTGAAACCCTGTCGCTTTCCGGGATATCATGTTGACTGGGGTTATGACATGTGTAACAGAGATGATATCATGAACAATGCCCATAGTAACGTGAAAAGGGCGTAAGTGTAACAGAGACTTCGATATTAACTTAAGAGCATCGGTATGTTGGTTTGCACTCACTCATCCCATATGTTGAACATTATAATCAATGTGACAGAGAATCCCAACTTTACTTAAGTAAGTCAGTGTTGTATTTGATACTGGCTCAAATCATATGTAAAACGTTAATATCAATGTAACAGAGACTCACATCTGTTGTCATGTATGCTAGTGTTGTAGTTGGTACTGACTCATGCAGTATGTTGTACGTTAATATCAAGGTAACAGAGACTTGCAGCTTTACTCGAGTACATCAGTATTATATTTGATACTGACTCAAATCATAGTTTATATCAATGTAACAGAGACTCCCAACTGTATTCGAGTACATCGGTATTCTATTTGATACTGACTCAATCATACGTTTATATCAATGTAACAGAGACTCCCAACCGTATTCGAGTACATCAGTATTATATTTGATACTGACTCAAATCATACGTTGATATCAATGTAACAGAGAATCCCAACTTTATTCGAGTACATCAGTATTCTATTTGATACTGACTCAATCATACGTTTATATCAATGTAACAGAGATTCCCAACTTTATTCGAGTACATCAGTATTCTATTTGATACTGACTCAATCATACGTTTATATCAATGTAACAGAGATTCCCAACTTTATTCGAGTACATCAGTATTCTAATAGATACTGACTCAATCATACGTTTATATCAATGTAACAGAGACTCCCAACTTTATTCGAGTACATCAGTATTCTATTTGATACTGACTCAAATCATACGTTTATATCAATGTAACAGAGACTCCCAACTTTATTCGAGTACATCAGTATTCTATTTGATACTGACTCAAATCATACGTTTATATCAATGTAACAGAGACTCCCAACTTTATTCGAGTACATCAGTATTCTATTTGATACTGACTCAAATCATACGTTTATATCAATGTAACAGAGACTCCCAACTTTATTCGAGTACATCAGTATTCTATTTGATACTGACTCAAATCATACGTTTATATCAATGTAACAGAGATTCCCAACTTTATTCGAGTACATCGGTATTATGTTTGATACTGACTCAAATCATACGTTTATATCAATGTAACAGAGATTCCCAACTTTATTCGAGTACATCGGTATTGATAGACTCAAATCATACGTTCTACGTTGATATCAATGTAACAGAGACTCACACAAATACTCAAACATCTTGTTTGATACTGACTCACATCATATGTTGTGCGTGCTAATATCAGTGTAACATAGAATTCCAGCATGTTCAATAGTTGAATAATTCTTTTGTCTACTTTCAGCTGGCACTATGGTGACCGAGAGTCCCAAATACAGCCATCTCAACTCCTCCTACTTCTACGACATTGACGTCGTGCACGGCTGGGGAAACAGAAGCTTCTTCACGTTCTTCTCGAGTTCAACCGAATATCTCCGAGTCTTGGCTACCTTGAAGCCACGATCTTCCTCCTACTGACAGTTATCTCCCTTGTCGGAAACATCGTGGTTTTCGTGCAGCTCGTGCTAAATAGACGAAACCGAGGCACCACCACGTGCTTCATATGCAACCTGACAGTTGCCGATTTGTGCTTCAGCGGAGTCGCACCCTTCATTGCGGTGACTCGAATAACAGAGCGATGGGTGTTCGGGTCGGTGATGTGCAGTTTGCTAGTGTACACGGGGTCAGTGTGCGCCTTTGTGGACATCTGGACGATGACGCTGATAGGTATCGACCGATATATGTGTATCGTCCGACGGTCAAAGACAAGACTGACCCCACGGTCATCCATAGTCATCCTCGGCGTTGTCTGGGCGTTTGCCTTCATCTGTTTCACTCCTCTCGCCGTCTACTTCAACGTCAGAAGCGTCCCCATGGGCAACATCAAGGTTGAGATATGCACGTTGGTATGGCCTCGACAGAACAAGTTCAAAGTGTCCTTCCTCTTCACCAGTGTTTTGTGCATCTGTGGATTTATTCTTCCCCTGCTTCTCCTGTCGTGGAGCTATTTCCAGATCTTTAGAAAGTTTTGGAAAATAAGGGGCGTAATTTTACAAAATCAAAGAAATCTGTCGAGCATATGGATGAACTCTTTAAACGTCAGACGCCGACGTGACATCCGGGACTTTAAAGTTGTAAAAACCCTCTTCCTCCTTGTTCTGCTGTTTGGGATCATGTGGTCACCAATCTTCATCTCTATGATCCTCATCCTGTACGATGGTGCAGCTGATACAATGATCATGTCATCTCAAGTTTTCATTGCAACGTACTGTGTCGCTGTTTGCAACGCTTGCATCAACCCATTTGTGTACGGTATTATGATGGAGCGATTGCGGACGAAACTCACTTCCTGTGTTACATGTTCAAGGTCAGGGTCGTCTGATCCGGAACCGGAAGTCAGCCCCGACAAGCATGACAGTGTGCAGGTGATCAGTTATGGAGGAGAGACATGCGCACACAGCCCACTCCGTGACCCTTGATTTGATCTCACGTGCAATATGATCATCATAATCTCTGTAAATTATTTCATTGTTCGACACGACGTGTTCTGATCGTCAAAATAATTAACAATTATTCCGTGCACAGTACATCAGTTAACCCTCATCTTCATCTAGTGTCTGCCAGGATACGTATCATGTCTCGGTCTTCATCAGAGACCCTCTATGTTTCATATTTTAGAAAATATTAATGGTTTCCTAAATCTTAATCATATATCAAAGCTCGACATGATTCTACCTTTCTTGAAGACCTGGCTTATTTCTGGTGTCACCCGCCGTGGTATTGCCCGAATGTTGTTAAAAGCGGCGTAAATCCATACTCACTCACTCACTCTTGGGGACCTGAGAGCACCACCACATAACTCTTGAAACTTGCATCAAGTGAATCCTAAGCGAACTTTGACCCAAAAATAGAAATGAAGGATGCCCAGGTTTGACGTGACCTCTCATAAGGCTAGGATGGGGTGGTGGGTGTGGGGTGGAGGGGGGTTTGCTGTACTCTTCTCCGAGTACGTATCTGATTTTCATTTTTAATATTTTTGTATAAGGGGTAATCAAAATATGAATCATTTTCAGATGGAGACAACAGTCCTTAGCGATAAAACCACCGTGATACAGACGTAATGCTACAAACCACTTAAAACACAAATAATTTAATTGTAATTATTGCCAGTAATGTATCCGACGGATACATTTTCACACTGTTGGTTTCTCTTACTGATGTATTATAGATGTACTTAGCTCAGATCATCGTATCAGTTTAATGTATTGATGTAATAAACATTATTTCATGACTCTCGAATCATGTTGTCTGTGACGCGAACAAAATGTACGGGCGGTGCGACTGCATTCCGATGGCTTGTATGTTCTCCACGGAAACTGGCCGGAGGGGTAGCCTAGTGGTTCGCTCGTCACGCATAAGACCCAGGTTCGATTGGGTACAATGTGTGAGGCCCATTTCTTGAGTCCCGCGCCGTGATATTGGTTGAATATTGCTAAAAGCGGCGTGAAACTAAACTCACTTACTCACTATTACCTACAAAATACGACTATTTTGTGGCATGACTGGATCAAGTAAAGGGTGTCAAATACTTCTGAGGTAGAAGACGGCAAATCTCCACAGAAGCGTTGTGGTTCGAATCTCGCATGTAAGCTTGTCTGCGTCTGCTTTGGACCTGTTTTAACCAGTCCATACCACTTTGATCACTATCAATCTGTTTCATTTAATTATGTATCTGTTAATTGTTTAAGGCCACACCCAGCTATATTCCTGGTACATGATAATAATAATCGGGCCAGAGTCCAGAGATTGACATCATGAGCATCGATCTACATACTTTTGTTTGTTTGTTGTCTAACGCAGCACTCTGCGAATAACCGAATGTGGACCAGACAATCCAGTGATAGACACCATGTGCATCGATGTACGCAATTGGGATACGATGACATGTGGCAACCAAGTCAGCTAGCCTGACCCGATCCCGTTAGCCGCCTCTTACAAACATGGGCTGCTGAAGACCAGTTCTAACCGGACCTTCACGGGTTATCTATACAGTTTGGATGCAATGACATTCATCAACCAAGTTTGCGACCCTTTCAAGAAGATCAGGGTTAGAATGACAAAATAATCAGCCGAACATCTTCCTAAATCGCTAATCGAGTCATATTTGGACATCAACAAATATGATGTCATTGAACAATCCATGTTGTTGTATATATACGCGGTGTCCTGTATATGGAAAAGGGGCGAGTCTCGTGAAGATCCGGTTAGAATTTGTCTTCAGAAACCCATGCTTGTCGTAAGAGACGACTGTCGGGATTGGGTGTACAGGCTCGCTGACTTGGTTGACACATGTCATCGTATCCCAGTTGCGCAGAATCGATGCTCATGCTTTTGATCACTGGATTGTCTGGTCCAGACTCGATTATTTACAGACCATATAGCTGGAATATTGCTGAGTGCGGCGTAAAACTAAACTCACTCAATCACTACTCTTGTTAGACTAACCTCTTGTCAGCTTTGTTCATTTTCTCCATTGGCGACATAGCAGATTGTAGGGCGCTTCTTTTAATTACTGCCAACAATGTCGACGCTCCAACGGTTGCATGAGGGTCTTCCTCGACGTTAGTGTTGGGAATTGGTTAAAATCTCACAATTGATGATTGGTTCATTACAACCGATCAATCATCGAAAAAAATTGGTTAGCGTCATTTATCAAATTCTCCTGGTTATGTTTGTTAATGCACACAAAAATATAGAAAAAAACATGTACTTCGGTGTTTTTTGCAAATTGCACAAAATGCATTTACAAATTTCACATCTTTAAAGGAGGACTAGTATGTTAGGAACATAAAATTCCTGGAATCTTTAAGATAATTTCAATCATGACAAGGAACGAGCTTGTAGTACTTATGAAATGTAACAGACAAAACCAACCTTGTGAAAAATGTTGTTAATGCAAACAAGTGTGCCAAAATTGTTTGTGTTCGATTATGAGAAAACATGATCGATTGCTTGGTCGTTTAGTCATTGCGACCAATCTTCGATTATTTCAATTAATCGGACCACCACTACTCAACGTATCCTGGTATCAGAGAGTCCATACTAAGCAGAGTGACATAACGGTTGATGTAAAGCATCCTCATCCCAATGCTGCAGATTGTTAACAGACGCGTGCATACCCCGTGGACAGGGAATTCGAAGCGTCAGTAAAAGGTAGATTATCCATTCGTTTAACAAGTACGGTATTCGACTGACATTTACTCCCAGAAATAGTTATCATTTAAAAAATATATATATCTACAAAACATTATTTAAAGTTCAAATTGATGACAGAAGAATGCATAATTTCAGGAGATAAATCAATCTAAACTTTCCACGGAAATGGGGCTTATTTCTTAATCTGTCCTCGGGGATCTCGGAGACAAATTATCAATATCTCTAGTAAATTCACCACAGAGTGCATGTTTAAAAAGCACTACAATGCTGCATGAGCTGCCCAAAGACACTGTATGAGCTGCCCAAAGACACTGTATGAGCTGACCAGAATGTTATCATAAATATCCCCTTGTATGGTGTTCATTATGCCCGTTGGTCACTCTTCGTATTCATTGTGTTTATTCCACATCAATTTGGGCCTCAGAGTGAGATCCGATGTCCGACTTAAGACTGGGAGATGCTTCTTTTCTAAAATATTTTTTCATTGGCATACATGATCAATCGTATTGAAAGTTTTTTGTTTTAAAAGACCATAAAGCTATTCTGTTTTTTTTCCAGAATTTCTTTTCTTTTTCAAGTATGAGGGAACATAATCATAAAGTTTCGATGTAAGAGATAGTATACCATGATGGTCTGCTGTACTGTGGGAAACAGCAGCGTGTATAAAGACGACTTGACTGCTTAACAACCAGGCTGTATAACATTAGGTATGGATTACATCATATCTTCATTTATCTACATTTAGGGTTTCATTGTAAGTAATTTTCACACAAACCTAACCCCACATTCTCCCTGGGTGCCTCCCAAGTGTGAAGATAGAATCCCCAAAGCGCTCCTCAAGCTGCGTGGGACTCCGTGTGACAACGGCCGTGTCGTCACATCAAAGAGATAAGTGGAGGAGATACCACTGGCTTTATCTTAATTACCCAGACTGGAAGTAAATCAGGCAGTGCCTGGGGTGGAGGTTGTAAACAGATGACGGTTGCCATGGTCACGACGATGTAACGATTACAGTCTTGATGTATGACCTGCGTCATGTGTGTTGATTATTGGGGATTATTGGTATCAGTGACGGATCAATAGATATTAAAAACAGGGCGTTGATAGGAGCAGTGGGTTTTGTCTCTATAAACAAGATATGTCTAAGTTTGCTATCTGAATGTGTGTATTTAAGGCTCTAGTTATACATTTAAGTGAGACCTATAATGATAAGTCAATGTGTACGTTACCTTGCATTCGTATATTTAATTCGGTTTTTATTCATTCCATTGTAGATTGTAGATTTTCTCACTGTAATATGTAATATATGTAATGTAATATTTGGTTATTTATAAACACCAAGTCACGCGTGAAAATATGGTAAAGGCGAAAAACGGGATCGGTAGGTACTAGGTTGGACTAGCTGACTTGATTGATGTATGTCCTCGTATCTCAATTACGTATATAATGATGTCAGTCAGTGGATTGTCTGGTCCACACTCATGCAGTTATCATCATCATATAGCTGGAATGTTGCTGAGTGTGGACAGACAACCAAACAAATAGACGCACAAACAAACAAATAGACGCACTAACAAACGAGCAAATCAAGAAACACTGACAACTGCTGACTTCTTTAGCTGACAGTGCGGAAAACATGCTGAGTCAGCTATTCCTACCCGTAAGGGCATCTTGCATCAGGGGAGGGAGGGTAGCCTTGTGGTAAAAGCGTCCACATGTCACGCCAAAGACCCGGGTTCGATTCCCCACATGGGTATAATGTGTAACGCCCATTTCGGGAGTTCCCCGCCGTGATATTGCTGGAATATCGCTAAAAGCGGCGTAAAACCATACTCACTCACTCACTCGTCTTGCATCACTAACGGCAAATCAGTACTCTTGAAAACTGGATCTGACAAAAACATTAGGCATGTCATCAAAACGTTACAAGGCAGCACACGTGATCCCCTAGCCTAGCCAAGCTGGACTGAATGCTAAGCCCATGGATGTAATTCCATCCTTTAAAGAGGCAAGTCTAGATAGGCGGACAGTACAAGAACGCCAGTCTGTTGTTTATATTTTTCAGAAATGTTCATTTGAGCTATTAATTGTAACTTAGAGACTTGTGCAAGTCTAGTATCCCCCTATCGCATAAATCACCTGTGTCTGTTTCACCGGTTCGGTCTACAGCCGAGTTAGTACTTAGCTACCGCTGTTTATGATGTATACCCACTCAGACACAATCAACTGACTCCAAGCCGAGCAGTCCTTGCTGTGTCCTTAATGTCGACTGCCGGGTAGCCTAGTGGTTAAAGCGTTCGCTTGCCACGCCGAAGACCCGGGTTCGATTCCCCACATGGGTACAATGTGTGGAGCCCATTCGTGGTCATATTGCTGGAATATTGCTAAAAGCAGAGAATAACTAAAAACTCTACCTCACTAATACCGACTCTCGGGCAGGGTAATATTAAAAAACACATTTTAACATCTTTTGGTAATATGCTTCTGGGATATGAACCACCGGCCATGCACTCCCCAGGCAAACACTCAATCCACTAGACCAAGGAGGCGGTAAATCTAGGCATGTAGTGAAACATTTAGGCATTTGAAACATTCTACTTCTTACATTATTACGGCAATGGGCGAGAAAAGCAGAGTGCATGAGCGTGAGCCATACTTGTGGTCGTAGTCTAATTTTGTAACAATCGTGTACATGGGGGATTGTGTGACGATTTATATCGAGTTACAACGACTTATGTACACATTCAAGAACATGCGTCTGAGGCTTATCTGCGAAGTAAAAGGCTTCCCTCGAGTCTCCGCGTGACAAATATGTACCAAATGGTACACTCCTTCCAATATATATACACGTTTTTGTCCAGTATTTCGTTCTTGTATTTGAAAACATGAAAAATACTTGAAATGTATCATAACATGTACTTCAGTGTCCTATTTATTCCACGTGAAAGCACCAAAGCGTTGATTGAACGTGGTCTATTAAAAAATAGTTAATGATTGATATAGGTTTAATTGACATTGTGTACAGATCCAGCTTGAGGGCACACAACCCACTGCCGCAAATGTATATTCACAATTAGTAACTGTTCGGTATACCACCCTGTAAGGTATATAAGTACCAGTAAGGTAGATAACCACAGAGGGTTCCTGTGAGGTTGATAATCACAGCGGGTACCTGTGAAGGAGATAATCACAGCGATTATCTGTGAGGTAGATAATCACAGCAATTGCCTATGAGGTAGATAGTCACAGCGGGTTGCTGTGAGGAAGATAATCACAACAGGTACCGATGTTGTAGATAATCATAGCGATTACCTGCGAGGGAGATAATCACAGCGGGCACCCGTGACGTAGATAATCACAGCGAGATTATGTGAGGTAGATAATAACAGCAGGTACCGGTGAAGTAGATAATAATATTGAGTACATGTACAGTATATCATCACAGGGAGTACCTGTGAGGTAGATAATCATTTTGAAGTAGATAATCACATACCTTGAGTACATGTACAGTATATCATCACAGGGAGTATCTGTGAGGTAGATAATCATATTGAGTATATGTACAGTATATCATCACAGTGGGCACCTGTGAAGTAGATAATCATATTAAGTACATGTACAGTATATCATCACAGGGAGTACCTGTGAGGTAGATAATCATGTTGAGTACATGTACAGTATATCATCACAGGGGAGTACCTGTGAGGTAGATAATCATATTGAGTACATGTGCAGAATATCATCACAGGGAGTACCTGTGAGGTAGATAATCATACTGAGTACATGTACAGTATATCATCACAGGGAGTACCTGTGAGGTAGATAATCATGTTGAGTACATGTACAGTATATCATCACAGGGAGCACCTGTGAGGTAGATAATCATATTGAGTACATGTACAGTATATCATCACAGGGAGTACCTGTGAGGTAGATAATCATGTTGAGTACATGTACAGTATATCATCACAGGGGGCACCTGTGAGGTAGATAATCATGTTGAGTACATGTACAGTATATCATCACAGGGGGCACCTGTGAGGTAGATAATCATATTGAGTATATGTACAGTATATCATCACAGTGGGCACCTGTGAGGTAGATAATCATGTTGAGTACATGTACAGTATATCATCACAGGGAGTACCTGTGAGGTAGATAATCATGTTGAGTACATGTACAGTATATCATCACAGGGAGTACCTGTGAGGTAGATAATCATGTTGAGTACATGTACAGTATATCATCACAGGGGCACCTGTGGGGTAGATAATCATATTGAGTACATGTACAGTATATCATCACAGGGGTACCTGTGAGGTAGATAATCATGTTGAGTACATGTACAGTATATCATCACAGGGGGCACCTGTGAGGTAGATAATCATGTTGAGTACATGTACAGTATATCATCACAGGGAGTACCTGTGAGGTAGATAATCATGTTGAGTATATGTACAGTATATCATCACAGGGAGTACCTGTGAGGTAGATAATCATATTGAGTACATGTACAGTATATCATCACAGGGGGCACCTGTGAGGTAGATAATCATATTGAGTACATGTACAGTATATCATCACAGGGGCACCTGTGAGGTAGATAATCATATTGAGTACATGTACAGTATATCATCACAGGGGGCACCTGTGAGGTAGATAATCATATTGAGTACATGTACAGTATATCATCACAGGGAGTACTCGGAGGTAGATAATCATGTTGAGTATATGTACAGTATATCATCACAGGGAGTACCTGTGAAATATATAATTATAGTGTGTGACTGTGAAGTATATCATATCTGTTTGGCGCATCATCACAAGTACCTGTTGGGTAGATAATGACGAGTACCTGTTGGGTACATAATGACGAGTACCTGTTGGGTAGATAATGACGAGTACCTGTTGGGTAGATAATGACGAGTACCTGTTCAGTACATCGTCCCAATAAGTACAAGATGAGTATACAATTTCAAAGTAAGTTTGAGGTCCGTCATGCTGACCCTGAAACAAATATATCCAATAACGCCCATGCAAGTGTACAATAGGAAGCTTGTGTCGTCGCAGTTTCAGATGAAGCGAGTGTCTTTCGATTATATTTTATTATGATCATTAAACATTTTTAATGTATTTTCATTTAATAGACTTGCTGTTTGTCTGCTTAAATAACCGACATTTTGCCATGACCTTTTCAATACCATATTTTAACGGCTTCACCTGACATTTGTTCACCGCCCGCCCCGATGCCACAGAGAGGCTCTGATTAAAATATGCAAACGACCCATGCAAGTCTATAATAGTTTTGCTTTTTTCTTCAAACAAAGAGATGTTGCTGCTGGCTCTTTTCGATTACATATTAAAAGATTATTTTAAAAATGAACTTTTTAAACACCTTAATTTTTAAAACTTAGTTTGGTCTATTTCCCCTGTATTCGCAATTTCGAATTAATAAAAAAGCTCAACAAATAAAAAATCAACGTGGATACAAAGTAACAGGGGATACACCCGAGTATCGCCATGCGTCATACTCAATCCAAGTCGCTGGAACATCGTCAACCAAACTAAATATAACAGCCTGCGCCAGTGACAGAATGTAGGACGCTGATAAGAGGTAACTTACAAACACCGCCATGTAGATTTATACCAAGCCCAGTGTAATTAATCTCCACTGTGCATGACGATGGAGACAATAGACGGCAAGCGTGTTCCGTGTTTTCTAATTACAGGTGAAAAGTTAATCACAGGTGCGACTGTGCGCGCTCACAGACAGAATGACATAAGGTGACACTGGCGAAACGGACCTGGGTCACATGACCGATGTCACTCCCCCCAGACTTGCTAACAGTCTCCTTAGTGCCTGTATAGTGTTCTAATGCTATTTCGCCTTTTCATCCGTTGCTTTAAATTTACGCCCGAGTGAGGGGTGTTCCACGCTATTCTGAAATATAGTTAAGCCACTAACGACAAACTCGAGTGGGTAGGGATTGAGGATTTATATTAATGATTTATAAGAATAAGTTTAATCCAATGTTAAATGTTTCAGTTATACGATCTTCGGTTGGTAGTATGGAGAGGCGGCAAATCTGGCTCATCATTAGTAGGTGGATGAGATTTTGGTTTAAAACCGCTTTTAACAGCATTTCATTTAGGCCACATTTGGAAGAAGTGTGTGCCTCAGGCGTTGGCTACTTTGTTGAAATTCATAAGCATGTGGTGCGGACGATCCTAGAAACGCAAATGGGATGAAACGGGATTCGAACCCTCAAGTGTATCCAAACTGAAGCAACTCTACACAGCGTGTTGTTGTGCGTTAGGCGAGTTGGCCGTGGGGCAATGGGTCGTTCCAGGGTTGGAATATGTTACGAAAAGGAACTTTCAGCTGAAAGAGTCTTAACCAGTTGTCACATCCTACACACGCAAGGGGCGCAACTCTTCACAATGATTTTCACCGTATAATTGTGAATACAGTCAGACCTGGTATCTCGAACTGAGCGGAAATTCGTGATACCGACTTCAAGGACAGACAGGCGTACAAAGCAAGAAACAGTATTGCATATCCATAGCATAACCATTACAAAACCATTGCACTATGTGAGATGCTTCTAAAATGTGTTAGGATGTCAACTTCGAGATAAATGTAAATAGAGTCCATGTAAAGTTAATTCAAAGTTTGGACGGAGTTAAAGGTTCGAGAAAGAGTTAGACATTTTACTTCGAATTGAAGATAAGCGGTCAAATATAAATGTATTTATGTGAATTGAAGATACCTCGACCGGAGACATATTTTCGAATTATCAGTACATTTGAGATATCGTATCTCGAAAAAGCGGGGCCAGACTTTAAACACATATTTGAAAATTTGGATTGATGTAGTTGAATGGGTTGAAATAAAATGAAAGATCTACACGGAAGCTATATTTTGTAAACAAAACAGAGTGTATAATACCAGGCTACATCACAGCGGATGTATAATTGTATTTAGATTCAAAACATGCCGATATGGTAAGAGAAGTCATGTAAAAATCAAAATTAGAACGATTTCTTTTTAAAGAGAAATTCGTACAACACTATTAATACGAGAGTTTATTTTGTAATTAACGCTATGCATCCACACGCGGCACTTCAAAGGAATGTAACACGGACATGTCCACTGTTCCCACGCTTGCAATGGCGCGTAAATATAGCTGTCAACCCTACGTCACAAACTGACTGTCAACACAGCGTCACAAGCTGACTGAAGCTGTCAGGAGTTGTACTAATGTAGACAGAAACAACACCGTGAATCATAAAGCCCGTGGCAAGTCTACTCGCAAGTCACAGCGACCTCTGACCCTTAGCCTGTGACCTGTTATCAGCGAGAGTCTCTTATCACCTGTCGGCAGTTCAGATCGACAGACAGACCAAGGAAGGATACCATCAGGGTGCTCTGTTGTGTTACAAGCTATATACAACACCCTGGATCTCATACAGTCGATGTGGATTAACGTATGAGTGAAATATACATGATATTTACATGAGTGCTATATACACGGATACCACATATTGATAGAACATTGACAGTTGTATATATCACCCCGGATAACTACCGATATCGACATGGTTCTACAAGGAGTCATAGAGCGGGGTCGACGAAGGAGGAGGGATCGAAGTGCCGTTCCGTTTATCACAAAATATATTCTGTTTTTCTGGAACTTTGCCTGCGAGGTATGTACTTTTTAAATATTTGAAATCTACATGTAATTAATGAATGACACTTACCCTGTCAGTACGTGTTACATAACAATTCACGTTTTACATTCGTTACATGTAACATTTGCCTGGTAATGTTCGGTACGCATATCACTGTAGTCGGGGTTCATAATAAGTGTAAGGACAGAGGTCGCCCACGTTGTAGGATGTTGACAACTGGAGAGATGACGTAGACTGCTGTCGTTGACAGGATTTATACAGATAAGCAGGGGTGATGTAATTGGGGATTACTATTGTCATCGTTATTATTAATCAAATACGCACAGAGGGGAAATATCATGTCCATTACACAGAGTTTTATCAGTAACATTTTAATCGAGTTTAGGCTAGGACAAAATGGTATTGACGACAAGTTCAAGTACACTACCGGACAAAGGAAGGTATACATTTGAACAATGCATATGACCAGAATATTGTGAATATCATCGAAACGTCACCTTGTCTCAGGATAACAATGCTTCGCTTTCGTCTGTGTCTAAATGCACGGGGTTTTGTAACGCAGAGACTAGCACTACGGCATGTATTGACCCTGCAGGGCTCTTAGCGTAGAATAATAGGATCCTTGTATATTGTGGTGACACCCCAGGTGTGTGACAATATAGACCTATTATTGGTGCTAATTTTTGCGACTCAAATCCTGCGTCAGTGTGTATCGACAATGGGAACCAGGGCCTGAGGGGTAGTATTAGTTCTGGGGAGCATCAGTCTAAATGACACAGGTACGTCAGATGTATCGACAACGGGCACCTGGTCCTGAAGCTTTGTTTATTGTTCAACTCCGGACTCCAGCTATATGGGACGTTTGCAAATCATCAAGTCTGGACCAGACAATCTAGTGATCAGGAGTATGAGCATCGATCTACGCAATTGCGATGACATGTGTCAACCAAGTCAGCGAGGTCTCCATTTGTTTATAACACCAGACTAATGAGAGGCTTCTACGATGCGTTATCTCATCCTACCGCCGGGTGCTCATACTATCAACCACGGCTGTCATACTATCAACCACGAGTGAACAAGTCCGACGATGGTTGTTAGTAACGTGTTGTAGCTTGTGGTGCCTGGTATAATACAACATTCACTCACTCATAATAAGAGATCATATTAGAAGTCATGATGCGGAGGAGAGGTGGCCTAGTGGTTACATTGTTCGCTCGTCACCCCGAAGGTTCGGGTTCGTTTCCCCACACGGGTACAATGTGAGTCCGATTTATCGTAACCGAGGACGTGATATTGTTTGAAAGCGTAAACACACTAACTCACTAGCGGTTAAACAATTATATAGGTTTCATTTAACACAACTGTCAACTTTGCCATCACGTTATTCCTGCACTGTTCCCTCAACTCCCATCGCACGACATTGAGTCAAACCATCTATTATCCCTTTAGTTAATGAATGTCGCCAAAATGTTTTTTAAACAAAATGATTTTTAAACATTTCTAAATCAGATTGTACGCACGCACGCACCCTGCATAAAATTGGAAAAATAGTTTTACCGTTAATCATAATAAATGCTAGATATTGATAAAGCGGAAGAAATATCCGTTCAGGAGGAAATTCGTTATCACGCGTCGTATCTTGAGGTAAACATTCCATGTTCCGTGTTCGTAATGAAATAAACAATACTGTCACCTGGTCCTTTATTATGTCAATTTCACAGCTGGCTGAATGAAAAGGTTTGACACCTGTTCCCAGTGAGCGAGTCCAGTTCAGCCCATGCAGTTTCCAGTGACAAATTCTCACCGAGACTGCACAATGCCTATGTATAATGCCAGTTCATGCATTTTATTGATTCAAACAAAAATCGATTGTGTGACAAATAGACAGGTCTGTTCGGACATACGGTGTCTAATTATGTTATACTTAGGATGTCTGAGTGTGAAAAGCTAGCGGCGGCTATTTTTCTAGAAATGACAAATACCTTTAAATACCAAGTGAGTGATTGTGGTTTTTGCCGCTTTAGCAACATTCCAGCAATATCACTGTGGGGAACACCAGAAATAGGCTTGACACATTGTACCATTGTGGGGAATCGAACCTGGGTTTCGGCGTGACGAGCAAACGCTTTAACCACTAGGCTACCCTACCGCTCCTGTAGGTAAAAGGATATCAGTGCGAAGGCTGTATATCTTCAACACGATATAGAGAATCTCACCCAAGTGTCTTCTGATATCAATTATATCAACACGAGTTGATAAAGTTAGAAATATCCGAGGCTTGCCGAGGATATTTTAACTTTTATCAGCGAGTGTTGATATATTTGATATCAGAAGACACGAGGGTGAGATTCTATTTATCATCCAAAATCACCCTTCATTAGTTTTCAATGAAAAATGTACATCTCTCAACACAGTACTGCCATTAGGCTTGCAGTGAAGCGATGTCATAGCATTGTGACGTCATCAACTTCATGACGTCATAGCATTGTCAGGGCATTGTACAAAATATACTGTCAAAGCGATATCTCCTAGGATATATCGTTTGATCTCACACAAGCAATATCTCCAGTGGAACACAGTTTTTGGATGATAAAGTGCGATCATCAATGACTATGCAGGGGAAGGAAGGGCGCATTTCCTCATGATACTATGGTGGTGTTGATATTTTCACACTATCGATTTGTTTTACACCGAAAGAGTTGAAACGTTTTTCATGTATACATTGTGATAATGTATTCATATTATGAAAAATAAGTTCATTACCTGTAGTAGATGAATATTGGTTCGTCGTTTGAATAGCAAGAAGATCGGCGGGTAGCCTTAGTGGTTAAAGCGTCACGCCGAAGACCCGGGTCGAGTCCCTACATGGGTACAATGTGTGAAGCCCATTTTTGGTGTCCCCGTCGCGATATTTGCTGGAATATTGCTAAAAACGGCGTAAAACTACATTCATCTATTGAATAACAAGACGATGACAACCAGACAATACTGAACTCTAAACGCCTCATCACTCAAAGGGATAATATGACGCAATTGTCCCGTACCGCTCTTGTTTCCAGGGCGACTGGTACATGGGAGATTCTCATCCCGCCTCGTCATAGGTCACAGTGAACTACCACCCCTTCTTGGCATGTGGAGAAGTCAGAAGGATAATGAGTTCACTGATCTGAAAGATTTAGTGAGCATGTTCGTTCGTGCGAAATATGCTCGCTTCTTTCGTAGACACCCGGTGTCATTGCTGGGATCTGTTTCAAGCCTGCATCATGGCGTTATCCTAAAACATCATCCGTGATGAGTCAGGGATTTACAGGGACATCACGCCACTGTGAACTGCATCGGGACAGGACGACTTCACATGCATTGTCATACACTCGGTGTTTTCAATATTTGCTTTATCATTTATCGCTTGTTATTATATGGACTAGTGAGAGGACACATATGGATTGTCTCACGACTCTGCCCCAGAGCACCGAGGTGTCACGTCAGTCTCAGAGATTCCGATGAACACCTGGTGTTTTATATGTCTGTCATCGAGGTGTTTGTTGTGTAACGCCACAACCAACAACGTTCTAGTAATATGATGGCGGACTAAAAAAATTAATCGAGTCTGAACCAGCCAATCCAATGATTTTGTTAGCATTGACTCACTCCACCACGATACGCTGACACTTCGCAGAGCCTGACCGCCCTGTCTATAAAGTCGACTGTATCAAATCCATATAAACCCTGTGGCCAGAGTAACATCCCAAACAGCACCTGACATAACACTATTTCTGAAAACAAGACCGTCAGAACGTTCTATATTTTCTATTGAACACCCGGTGTCATGTGGTCTGTGTGTATCCTGTCAGTATCGCATGATCATCATCAAACCCTGTCGGCAGTGTCATACACCTTCCACTAAACCGTTCCGAGGAACAAACTTAACAACCGGTGTTATGTGACCTGTGTCTCCTTTTTCATGTTAGCATGTCTCGACCGTTATCGCAAGACATGATTCACTCCTAGGCATTCTCGTTATCAGGGCGTCGGGTCGCCAGTACCGTCGGTCAGCGTGTGGCATTGACTCACTCACATTCAGTGTCATGACTCACAGATACACACCCTAAATGAAGTCAGGTTCTTCAGCATAATCTCACACGTACGGCGCAAAACGCTGCTCACACTATCGACCACTAGCTTGTCTGGCGCAAAAACGCGTGCTGACAAACCACAATCTGGAGGTTACAATGCTGAAAGTACATGTAAAATATAACAGGACACATACTAAAGTGTGAGTGAGTGAGTATGGTTTTACATCGCTTTAGGCAATATTCCAGCAATATCACGGCGGGGGACACCAGGGATGGGCTTCACACATTGTACCCATGTGGGGAATCGAACTCGGGTCTTGGACGCTTTAACCACAAGGCTACCCCACCGCCACCTTACTAAAGGCACATGGGGCGGTGGGGTACCCGGCACAGCTCTGGACGTTCGCCCGTTGGAACAATTCTTTGGGGACCTTATTCTATTACCTACATATATAGACCCGTGAAGATCCGGGTTAGAATATTGGCCTTCAGTAACCCATGCTTGTCGTAAGAGGCGACTAACAGGATCGGGTGGTCAGGCTCACTGACTTGGTTGACACATGTCATCGGTCCCCAATTGCGCATTTCGATGCTCATGTTGTTGATCACTGGATTGTCTGGTCCAGACTCCATTATTTACAGACCGCCGCCATATAGCTGGAATATTGTTGAGTGCGGCGTAAAACTAAACTCACTCACTCACTCACCTACATATACACCTTAGTCAGTAGTGGGGTAGTGGGACTGACCATTCTGCGTAGCTACTTCTGATCCTAAATAGTTTATCAAACACAACGGGCGACTTTGACAGTTTTAGTTATGGTCAATATGCATTGAATAATTTAATATAATAACATATAGGGCCACGACGGCATTCAATGATGTTGTTAATGTGATAGTCATGTAAACAAGTGAAACTAGTTAATCCTGTTCCGGTTTGGT